CAGAAACCACAGCCATTCGGTCTTGGATGGGTTGAGCCTGAGCCTGTTTCTCCCCATCCAGATCCGCACGGCCTCCAGGCACCAGGACATCACTTCAAGGGCATCGTTGGAGTGGTCCAGGATGGAGATGTACAGCTGAGTGTCGTCAGTGTACTGGTGGTACTTCACCCCGAAACCACGGATGATCTCGCCCAGCGGCTTTACATAAATGTTGAACAAAAGGGGCGAGAGGACCGACCCTTGTGGCACCCCACATAAGAGGGGCCTCGGGGTCAACCTCTGCCCCCCTGCCAACACAGACTGCAACCGGTCGGAGAGAAAGGAGGAGAACCAACATAGTATGGTGCCTCTCACCCCCAACTCTTCCAACCGGTGCAGCATGATACCATAGTCAATGGTATCAAAAGCCGCTGAGAGATCTAATAGGACCAGGACAGAGGAGCAACCCGTCCCGAGCCCTCCAGAGATCATCAACCAATGCGACCAATGCCGTTTCCATGCTGTACCCAGGCCTGAAGCACGACTGGAACGGATCCAGATACGTCGTTTCATCCAGGTGCTGGGGGAGCTGTCGTGCAATCTGATATCGCAATGAAAATTACCTAGTTCATTTAACATATGGCAAGCTATTAAAAATAATACCTGGTAGATATTATCAACCGTGACATTATTTGCAAATGAAAATATGCTTTTATTGAGAACCTCCATTTTAAATTAAACAAATATAAGGTACTTATGGTATACAGCCTGTTCCCTTCTAAAAGTTCTAGGCACTGAAATTCTATATATTCAGAAGCAATGCTACCACACAATATAAAATTTAAAAAACATCTTAATGTTATACGTAATCCAACTGTTCCAATCAACAACATATTGCCATTACTATACATATATCATTTCATATAACTTAATAATATAAATGTAACAATGCATTAATCATGAGTTGTGAATTAATAGAAACAACCAGAGGCATCTGCAGAATGTGATAGCTTAGTTAAACCGAGTACTGTGGCATAAATTGCACTTCTTACATATGTATAATGTTGCAATGGACGTACAAAAGGGGCAGAGCTTGTGCTGCAATATTCTTTCTCTCCCTTCCCATAATGCAACAAAACATGTATTAAAACCACAGCATACACTAACTGAACAATTTGAAATCAATCAAATTATATATGATGTAAAGAACAAAAATAAAATCTCTTTCTACTCCAAACATCTGGATGTGTGGGAAAGAAGTACTGAAGCAACATCTTGGATTCAAGATAATGATATCCTATGGAAGAGGTATGTTAATTGACATTACTCCAAAAGTTTGATAGGTATGTTAGGCATAAAATAGAACTTTAAACAGGAGAAAAAACTTGTTAATAGGAATAAAAATATTCTGTTTTTACAAAATTAGTATGGAAAGGTCTGAAACATCACTTGGCAATCCATACTGCATTGTAGTTGGAGATTACTGAGGCTATGTAACTGTGGAAAACTAATTCAAATGCTTATTTTTTCCTGTTTCTGCTCTGCCAAGCATATATTAGATCATATTTATTGACTATCATGATTTTCAGCCCTTAGAATTTCAGTCATACTCTCTCTCTCACCCCCTCAGAGGACATTGGCTTGCCACAATCTGTCAAATATTTTAAACTTTCTCCTATTCTCATTCTCTATTTATGCCATTTCTCCAAAGCTAAGAAAGGACATCATTAAAAAATAATCAAATCAAATTTAATTTAATTTGCTGACTTTGTATAAATATACAAAAGGATGAAGGCTATTGCTTAGCGCATTGTAAGCCGCCCTGAGTCTCCAGAGAAGGGCGGCATATAAATCAAAAATTTAAAAAAAAAAATTAGGATTGGTTGTACCTTCTGTATGAAGTACAATTCCTGGCTACCAATTTAAAACTAATTAAACACCTGAAAAACAATTGTACACCTCAAAACTTAGTGAAATCAAACAAATCTGCTCCATATTTTCTTTTAAATGAGAAGTGATATAGAAATGCTTAAAATAATAGAAGTTGGAGAATGTTGAACAGGAAATACAGGTAATTTTTCCTTCTTCTCTTTGATACATTTATTCTAAACCTGCAAGCTAGATTTCTAACTTGAAAGCCTGATGATATTCTCAGGCTGTAAATCCACTAAAATATATCTTTGTAGGTTCCCTTCTGCACTTATTTTTACTAAAGAAATGCAATATAACTTATTTGTGATAGATAGATAGATAGATAGATAGATAGATAGATAGATAGATAGATAGATAGATAGATAGAGACAGAGATAGATCCCTAGCACTTTTTCTAACAATTTCTTTACAAGGGTTAAAGGTCTCCACATTAAGAAAATTTATTAACAAAATTATGAAAAAATATCTCCAAAAATCAAATTAGAATTATACAACATACACATCTAGTATCCAATCTACCCCTCCACATGAAAAACTGATCTTTGTAAAAACTTTTACTCTACAAATATCCCCAAATTTCATAATAAAATAAAGCAAATACAACAGCAGTAGACCAGTGATTAGCCTAATCTTCCACTGGACCTCTATGAATAAAATATGACTGGAAATAATTTTCTATGTATTTCAGGCATACAGTTGCATAACTTGGATAAAGACACCTATAACCGTTTGTCTATATGGCAGACACTTGAATAGGCATTTATGATGATTCATTAAAAAGAACATCAAGAAAGTTTGTTTGGGTGGGATAATTGCACTTTTGGTTGTTTAGCAAAGACTGATACAAAGCTGGAGTATTTGTTTATTTGTTTATTTATTTATTGGTTCGATTTATATGCTGCCCTTCTCTGGAGACTCAGGGCGGCTTACAATGCGTTAAGCAATAGCCATCATACTTTTGTATATACCTGCTTAGTAGGGCTTTGCCCCCCCGCCCCAAAGCGGTGTTCTTTTTTATACAAAGTCATCTTATTCCCCCCACAATCTGGGTCCTCATTTTACCTACCTCAGAAGGATGGAAGGCTGAGTCAACCTTGAGCCTGGTGAGATTTGAACTCGCAGTAATTGCAGGTAGCTGGCAGCTAAGTGCTATTTAACAGCACTTTAGTCCCCTGCACCACCAAGGAGTACACATGTAACTGAAAACCTTTGAACATTATTATACAACATGATTTACCCACACATCAATTTGTCTAGTCAAGACAGAAACTATTTAAGTGGTTTCTAGAATACATCAATTTCTTCCCACCTACTATTGGATTCAGTGCTACATAACTATCAGCTACATAAGTGAATTATTCATATATAGCAAAAAAAAATTATCCCTGATTGTACCTGGGGGTGAAGCAACTGGTAGGTGGTAGCAGATAGTAAGTCATGAGCTTGATATCCTATCAAATTTGAGCCCATTGAAAGTTCTGAGTCTCCGTCTACCAGTTACTTTTCAGAAATTTTATTTTCTGATAAGGCAAAATTTGAAAATACCTGTACAAATTATGCTAAGAAGCTTTCTGGTAATATAATACATTCAGCATTTTTGCACTAATTCTCTAGTTAAAAAGAGCATTAAAAACATCTTTTTTATTGCCATTCTCCACCAAACTCAAACTTCTGTATGTTATCTGCCATTAAGCACAGTGCCCATATTCATATCATCCTTATGGGCTTCTAGAGGATCCATACATTCTGTTTACTCGTCAAAATATTTTGACTTACAAGTGCTATAGCTACTTGGGAAAGCCTTCATTATCTGAAATATCCAGGCAAAGTTAGTTTAGGGGCTGTTGGAAACAAAATACTGCAACAGAATTATATTGTTTTAGATACACACAGTAATTCCTGTAATATATTAAAGCAGCTGTCCTCAGTCTAGTGTCTTCCAGATGAAGTGAGCTTCTGTTTCAAGAACGAAAAGTGTACAACTAAATTGAATAATGATAACTAAAAATAATAACTCCAATTCTGAGTGGGGTATTGCATTGTATATGCAGAAGATATCAGAGCGAGGAAAACTACATTATTTATCTTGGTCATCTTTCTTGTTCTTACTAGACAATCACTTGCAAACACTGTGGGACTTTTTTATTGTCAGCTAAAGGGCTAGAGTCCTGCTGTTTGCCGTTGCTGTGATTGTCAAACATCTCAGTTAAGACAGAAATCAAAGCACAATAAAAGATACTGATTGAGGCACTAACAAACTGATTGGTGTCCTTACCTAGCAATAGTGTTTACTGCTTGATAAGTATCTTAAATAAGGCTAGGAAATACCCCAATCATTCATCAGCTTGTTAACTTGATTATTGTCCAAAATAGCACGTTTCTTCTCAATATTTAAAATAACCTGAAAATAAGCTACTGATGAAAATACCTCACAAAAATGCAAAATAAACTGGTGACTAATTCAATGTGATGAACAGCTCCTTTATTTTGTTCTGAGAACAATAAAACTCAAAACACAAAATGGGAATAATTACCAAATATTAGTGATCTGATCGCTGAGTTTTAATTCTCACATCTTTTAAATTTTAATCCAGTCTACTGCCAAACCACTATCACAGCTGTCACCAACTTCATGCCCTGACACTTTCGAAAGGCACCAAACCAAGGTATCAAGTTCTCCCACAAAACTACAATACAATTAAAAGCCTAACATAATTGAACAAAAACTGAACAGAATGTTTGTATTTATCTCTCTGAAAATTAATAAAGGAATTATTTCTAGTTAGTGATATATCTAAAATGCACATGTCAATCAATATATATTTATTTGCAATTCATACACAACTAGATTCCTGGGATAGGTGTAAACTGAATATTCATTAGATGACTCAGAGCAATGTATAATCCACAACACATCCTAAAAGTGAAGATTTCGTGTAGTTTCAGATCTATCTTTCTAGACAACTTGAGTATTTTGCTCAAGAGATGGAAAAATTAAGGCAAAATATGTCTTTTGGAGGCTGTTTCTATAGTCAATATCTCAAAGGATGGGATGTAATAGCCCTCTGAAAAAGCTTTAGAAAACCTACCTGGGAGGGGTAACCCAAGAATGGTGTCTTGCCATGGGCATGTCCAGGCTTGTTCTAATGGGAAAAAATAATTTAGGGTTAACTCATGGGAGAATGTGGCAGCAAGAAGTGAAATGGATTGTTCTTTAATACTGCAATGTCAAGAAACAGTAATTAGAAGGAGAAATATTCTATCTGCCAATAGGCACAAAATCCTAAAGATAATAATAGACCTACAAATAATAACAGAATACAACATTTGATATATATTTCATTGCTGTCTTTGAAATATTGTCAAATAAGTTACAAAAACAGGATTCAAATCTAAGGAAGGAAGGGTAGTAGCATACTATAAGGAGGTGGATGAAAGGGGAAAGTTGAATAAATACAAAAAATAGGTGTGAGAGAAATAAATATTGACTGAGTATCCCACACTTTTAATTTATTTAACAAGGGCAGCAGGAGATAAATGGAAGAAAAATGGAATGGGGGAAAAGGAGTTCTATTATAATATAATGCAGGAAACTCTAAATCCTGGTTTGAAATCCACAGCATTTCACTCTGAATTTCTGTAAGTTAACATAACCATAGTGGTCAAAAGTATTAAATGACTGAATGTGAGCACACTACATTAACCTATAAGTTGGCAGAATGCTAATAGTCTCTAAATTACAGGGTGTAGTTTTCACAGAACAGTATGAGCTTGCTGGGCTTTAGTATCTTGGCCAAAATAAGCCAAAACAGACTGCTACTGAGCACAGCATGCTGCAGGTGGCATTGGCACAATTAAGGCTGATAACTTAGTTTGCACTTTTATTATCTTTCTCAAAAGAATTTGGTGAAAGTGTGGAAAGTCCAAAAACATAATGAGTGACAGTTACCTCATGACAAGATGGGTGCCAAACAAATTTAATAAATAAATAATAAATTAATTAATGTATGATGAATGAGAAATTAAAGAAAAAAATACAAATATTGTGCACAAGTGAAACCAAGAGAAAGAATTAAAACATCTAAATGAAGGGTGGGTGGGTCTGATCTTGTGAATTGAAGTTTATTTATTTACTATGCTATCCCTCTTAACCATAACTCAGCCGAGCAACAGAAAGCTTCCTAAATGGTTTTCAAGCAGCCTCATATCCAAAGTATTGCAATGGTAACTAATGAATGAGTGATTATGAGCAGTGCTTCCCCAGTTAGGAATCGGTGCAAATACTGTACAAGTTTTTGTGCAAAGACTCTCCTGGCTATGGTTACTACCCACTCTTTGAGCAGAATTGCCATGATCAGTTTGGTCTAGTGGATAAGGCACCATGCTAGAAAGCAAGGGACCCTGAGTTTGGGTCCTGCCTTAGCCATGAAAGCCAGCAGGGTGACTTTGCCAGTCAGTCACTCATGTCATTGTTGTTGTGGAGAAAATAGGAGGAAGAAGGTGTGTTGGATATGTTCACCACCTTGAGTTATTTGTAAAAATAATAAAAGTAGAATGAATGAATGAATGAATGAATGAATGAATGAATGAATGAATGAATGAATGAACAAACAAACAAACAAACAAACAAGACTCAATCAACCAATAAAGCAGAATGTTGGGAACTCTCACAACTTTCCGCTGGAACCCCTCAAGGGCTATCAGGCACTTGAGTGAGACCAATTAAATTGGTCCTTCCATAGCCACGAAGAATCCAAGGCTAACAGATTGTGATGTGTACATGACAAATGACTAATCACAACCCCCACCCCCACCAGTGATGATGTTATGAGAAAAAGCCAAGTCTAGCATGGGGCTGCCTAAAACTTGAATCACATTCATGGGTACTGTGGTGGCCATAAACTCCTGAGCCACCTCCAACTTCTGGCCCCAGGACAAACAGGTTGCAGTTTCCCAGAACTACAAGTCTGGAAAACTCCTGGGCCAATTTGGCCACAGCATCCAACAAGCAAGGTAGAGAAATGGTTGTGTAGCAGGAAGACTGGTACACAAGTAGCAAGAGCCAGTTTGGTCTAGTGGTTAAGACACCAGGCTAGAAAGCAGGAGATTGCAAATTCAAGTCCTGCCTTAGCCATGAAAGCCAGCTGGGTGACTTGAGTTATTTGTAAAAATAATAAAGATGGGATATAAATAAATCCCTTATGATGCATAAGGCCCAATATCACAAATAAGGTTTTATATCCAGTGGAGTAATCCCCCTGGAAGCCACTACAGCTTCAGAGGTGACAATAACTGCACCTCTGCCCATTTGGAAGTCTAGTTTATGGAGATCAAATAGCTTGCAAAAATCATCAAGATATGGACTGAGTTGGTTTAGGCATGGAGAAAAATGAATGAAGGTTAAATTGAAGGAACATAAATAATGGAAGAAAGTGCATGTTAAAAGGAAGGAGAAGTTTGAAAATATAAAAGTATATCTGTAAAGTATCCCATCCAAATTATGGCAATATAACAGCACCAATATTATTTCAAAGAAGTATGCCAGTAATGCATAAGACTTTTTAGAGTAAAAAAGAAATAGTGTAACCGGTTACATCCTTAGTTGTTACACTGACTTTGGTCTTTGAAAATTAACCTCAATTAAGGAATCTCTTTACATAACATTATATTGTAATGTGATGAAAGCCCTCTGAAGATATGGATCAGTATGCAGATATTGAGATGTGAGGTGGCAAAAGTTTGAATAATAATCCAAAGATTCATTAGCCTGTAATTCTTGTTATCTAAATATTTCTTAATACGTTAGTGTGCTTGTCTTGAAGCAATACATTTTAAGTGTTTCAATACATCAAAGAAAAGAGTAGATTTACCTTTCCCAATCATATTGTGAGCTTTACCTACTCTACATGAAAGATAACTCATTATCTTGTAGTATTCTTTTGTAGATAAAAAGAGATTCCTTTCTTACTTGCAAGAAATCCTATGATATGAGGGTTCCCTAGAAATATGACGGGCAAGAGAAGACTGCAGAATATTAATCCTATAAACACTAGTCAGTCACCAGCAACCATTAACAATTGGTTCAAATCAGTCTTTTCCAATCTGGTGTTTTTCAAATGTTCTGGTCTTACTTGTGCACCCAACTTAAGGTCCATTTAACAAAAAAGAATTCAACACAATGTTAATTTACAATTTTCATCCAATGTAGAATTTCCCTGTAAAAACTACAAATACCTGTGTCTAAAATCATGTATCTACACGTCTATCTCATGTATCAAAATTATCTGTCTACATTTAGATACATCTAAAAATATATCTAAATGCTCATGAACTATATTTAGAAAAAAAAACATAACATATGAAAAAATTCTGTTCTTGTATATAATGTAAAACAGGGCCTGACAACAGATTTTAAGACAAACCCAATCCTTTTCATTGGTCAATCTCAAATGAAGTGGGCTTTTTTTCTTTTCTTGGCTAAGTAAAATCAAGGAGACAGCAAAATATGTCATTCTGACCTGAATACAAGGATGCTTAGAGGGAAAAGTGTTTGCAGTCTATAACTTTTATGTAAAATTAATGTATATCATTAAAATCAGCTGTATTTATGTGAGTAGACATGAATGGATATTACTCTACTGCAATTAAATAAAAACTAATATATTAAACAATATTTTTCTCTTAAAAACACAAAACAAAAATCACAAACTTCCAAACTAGAATTTAAAAAATCTTTCTTAATTCAGAAAAGAACTATTCAAAGAATATTTTATAATTAGATATCCAAAATTAGCAATAACAGCATAGAAAATAATTTTGCTTATATAAATTAGCATGATATCTAATATAAGAGTATGTTCAACATTAATAACATTTTGACACAGGAATCAGTTAATCCTTGTCCGTTGAAATATATTTTGTATGTCCCTTATGGATATTATAAATATTTTATATAGCAAAGCAAAAATAATTCATGGCTGTAAGATTACCTGATATCCAGATAAATACTTAGAATTTGAAAATAAGTTTCCATGTTAAATATGTAGAATATCTTAAATGAAAAAAGTCGTACAAACTTAGAACACAGAATTTGTTATCAAGTGAAGTATTATGAATGTTATAATAGTAATTTAAAATTATTGCTTTTTTAATGTAATCTAGCTGCCTGAGGCTGCTAGAAACTGCTATGCCTGGCTAATGTATTGAAATTACAATGCAAATTTTCCTAGAATTTGTGTCTGTTTCACACCATACCTAACCAAGAAAATAATTGACTTAAACATTAAAGACTGGTGACATGATGGACTCAGACTAGCACAGAGTAGCTGAAGAAAGTGTCCTGTGTGGATTGTCTCTTGTTTACAACAGAATCAGGGTTTTTCGGTTATAGTATAATTAATTACACACGCTATCTAAATTTCTCCCTCCTTTCGTTATGGAAAAATTCAGACCTTGTGTCACACTATTCACATGTATCTTTGTACCGTTGGCTTGCTTCTCATTACCTAGGCCTTAACACTGGGGAATACTGTTCTCCTAACACCAGCAGTAAAACAGCCTGGGCTTTTATTAATCTACACACTGTTAGAAGTGCAGCACTGTGGAACTGTATCTGAAAACTTTTAGGATGTTTTTGTGTTCCTACCATTCTTACCTGGAGAAAGATTGACAGTATTTATTGAATAAATATTTTCAAAGTACATTCAAATATGCAGCTGTATCAAATTTAGTGGCATGTAGATATGTCTTGACAGCAACATGGGTGGGAATCATTTCCTCATTGTATAAGTTCACACTGATTTGATTACATGCCTATGAAATAACTTCAGCGTCAGTCCAAGTGCAGCTCCTTCCTATATGGCCATAGGCACTGCTGTAGGTAAAGGTTAATTGGCTTCTAACAGTGAAGATATGATCCAAAAACATGGGAAAACACAAAACCTGGTCACTTAAAGTAGTTTTGTGTTCTCTGGAAAGGTTAACATAGCCCAACCTTCGCCATATCAATTATAAAAACTAAAAGGACAAGGTAACAATAATGTCACCTGTAAATAAAATGGAAATATATTATTGGGCGTGTCACTTTCTAATAACAGCCACTGGTTATACATGCTCTAGAACCATGATTGCGAACCTATGGCAT